CTGTAATGTGTTGGAGGTGAACGTGATTTGTGCACAATTTGCGCACAAAAGCCACAAAGTGAATTACCAAATGTTATCTGGTGGATTGTTTGCCAGGCCAACGGGAGGAAATCTCTTTCCGAATAGTGCCACGGGATCTTTAACATCCATCTGAACAGGTAGACAGTTTAATGTACCATCCGAAGGATGGCACCTCCAAAATTGCAGCACATATCTAGCATTGCATTTGAGTGTCAACCTGAGATCAGTGGTGGCTAACCAGTGGCCCACGGGGCCATGAAGAATCGGCCCTCCAGACATTCTATTAGTCTAAGTAAGTCCATGTTCGATCAGTAGTGTGTTTTCAGCTTTTTCTTGAAAGAATATTTGGCATAAATCAAGAAATATTTCATCAAGAAAATTTATTTTGTTGGCTGACCATAAAGGTTGGCCACCAGTGGCCTGGATTATATGAGTTTAAAGTCCCAAAGCAGAGTTTAAACCCACAATCAACAGAGAGATGAGAGAACTACCAACTAAGACAGGCCTACACCTGACATTTTTATACAGTTTCTCAAAATGATTAGATTATCGTTAACAGTTGATCACATAAAAGAATTACAGTGGAATTTTGCAACAGTCAACCACCTATATTGTCTATGAATCTTTGACAAACATAGGATAACATAATTTTTGTTGCAGCTTTTGAAACTGTGGTTGGGACACTTAAGCCAGTGAATATTTAAATTACACTAGAGAAAATCAAATGGTCTCCCAGTTACAGCCACTGGGAGAGCCCAGTCACAGAACAAGGAACCTGGCAGCTTGGTTCAGTTAGCTGTGAAACTATGATAAATGGAAGATAGTTATAGAAATAAAAAAATTTAAACTAAGAATTCGCTTGAACTTTTTTTGTGGCCAACCATTAGTACTAGAATTATGTTTTGTATTCTGAAGAAAATATATATACTAAGAATGATTTGATCCAGTGGTATAAAATTTGTGCCCAGGGTTAGTGGTTTAGGACTTAGTGCCTCTTATGGCATGGTCAAGGTCTAAATCCCAGTTGGGGAATTATTGATATTTGCTTGTTTTGGCAGAACATGCTGAGGCTGGAAAGAAAGTGATACAGATTGGACTAGGTTTTACTGACCAAGAAGGCATGAATGGAATCCCGCCACCTGACATTTATAGGCACAGGGCTTTATTTTTGAGCTGTAGAAACCCAAATAAAGAACTTTGGAAGAAAAAGAGAAGTGTGAAAATCCATCTTGAAGTCAAGATAGCTTTGTTTGTTAAATGCAAGATTTTCCCTTTAAAAAAGGTGTTTTTATGTGGCAGTCCCCAGTAATTTGTTCTATTTTAATCTATTTCAAATGTTGAACATGCACAGCTTTTAATGATTTTCATGCCGACAAAGGAGTTAGTAAAGAAGTTACATTAAATCGTGGGAAATGATGTCCTGACCCATCGACACACTTACTGGTCACTTACTGCATTGAATTATGGGAAACACAGTTTTAATCTGTCGACACTTGCGCAGAAGAACTTCATTTCCTGCAATTCAATGCAAATCCAACGATTACCGGTAAGTGTGCATGCGGCGATGGGTGAGGATGCGTTGAATCACGGAAAATGTAGTCTTGACCCATCATCACTTACTGGCTTTATTCAGTTATGCATGCGCAGTGTAGATTATTGATTAAATCAGATTTTATGCAGCTTATACAGTTTGGCTTTAACTCAGACTTTGCATAAGTCATTTAAATATTATGGTCCTGACTGATACGACTTATGTATGAGCCTGAGTATGTAAGAGATGGAGTTTATTAAACAGTCAAACGGTCTTGAGCTGTACAAACACTTGGCTGTGCTTATAATCAGACATGAGATACATTAGTAAAGCTTTTCCCACTGCTATGCTGCAGATGGCATAGAAGCAGATACTTTACTGTTGAGGTGTTCGCTGCAATCAGTCCTGGTGAAAGCAAGGCATTTATTTCCAGCCTTGGCGTGCTCGTTTGGCTGTGCCCCTGACCCAAGCCACCCTCTCCCAAAATGCCCCAGTTCCCACTACCCACCTTTCATTACTCCCATTCAGTCCTTCTCTCCTACTGCCCTCCCCGTCTTCTCTCCCTCCTGGACCCTCCCACAGACTCCCTCTGCTCCAGCCTGAGCATCCTTACAGCAGAACTCGGCGATAGTTGTCTCAGAGGTGCCACCCCAACTGCCACATCACCCAACTACTCTGCAAGGTCCGCATCGATAGGTGAACCCCCCTTCTCTCATCCACATCTTTCCCAATTCTCCCCTCTCATACTCGACAGTCGTTCTCCACTCACAATCTACAACCACCCTCAAATCCTCCCCTGCCGAATTGCATTGACCTCTAAGCTGTCTGCAGCATCCGAAATAAAGCTCTTACAATCCACAATCTCATCCTGGAAAAGCAGTTAGTTGTCTTCGGGCTCATGGAATCTGGCAATCCTCCGGTGACCCCCTCGTCAAAGCCTGGTTACACTTCTCACCATAGACCCTGCCCCAACCAACACGGCAGCGGGGTAGCCCTCATCTCCAAAACCTCCCTTGGTCTATCCCCCTATTCCTCTGGCTGCTTCCCCTCTTTTGAGTGCTTGACCCTCAGCCATCCTTTCACTCCCTCAAAATTCTCCCAGTTTACCGCCCCCCCCCCACCCACACACCAAACCTCCTGGTTCCTTCATCACGGATATCGGATATCTTCTCTTATTCCTATCTCTTCTGCACAAAATATCTCCTCATAATGGGCAATTTCAACCTTCATCTCAATTCCCCAGCCCCATCTTCTCTGACTTTGCCGCCCTCCTCTCCACCCTAAACCTCACCCTCCACATAAACTCCCTGATGTAATCTGCAGACGTGGGGACAACTTCCAAATATATGCAGATTACACACAAATCTACTTCTCCTCCTCCAGCTGCGACTCCCAATTAGCTAATTTTCTGTCAGCTTGTTTGATGGACATCAAGATCTGGATGAGCGCAAATTTCCTGAATGTCAGCAAGACAGAAGCCATACTCTTTGGCTCCCATCAACGTCTTCTCTCCTGCAGGTCTGAACTCCTCAATCTCCCCGGGCTCTCCCTCAGAATATTCGAACCCGTGCGCAATTTAGGTGTCCACTTCGATCCCCAGCTTTCTTTTCTACGGCACATTCATTCCCTGACCAGGACTGCTTTTTTCCACATCCGGCACATTGCATGCGTCCGTCCGTACCTCACAACCAACGCAGCCGAAACCCTCGTCCACACCTTTGTCACTTTCTAACTGGACTATTCCAATGCCATCCTTGCTGGTCTCCCCAGCTCTACTATACACTAAATACAATTAATTAAAAATTCACCGCCCAGATACGTACCTGCACATAGCTCTGTACCTCCATCACACCAGTCCTTGCACCTCCCTACCTATCTGACTTGCTTACCCCCGACTACACCACTTCCCTGCCTCCGCTTGGCTGGCTCCAGCCTCCTGTATGCCCCTCATCCTTGCTCCCTCCTTCCGCACAGTTGAAGAGGAAGATGTTCAGGCGCGATCTGAAGTTGGGGATGAAAGGGAAAAGGTGGAGGGATAGAGAAGAGTGTTTAGGGCATAGTCACTGAAAGCACGGCCACTGATGGTGGCACGAAGGGCACTCGGGACACGCAGGAGGCCTTTTCCAGTCGAGCGGAGGCAGCGGGTTGTGCCAAAGCACAACTGCTGCCTCCGCTCGACTGGAAAAGGCCTCCTCTGAATGTTCCGTGCGCTGGAGTAAGAAGGTCAGAGAGATAGGGAGGTACCAGGACATGAAGAGATTGAAAACTAATGTGAGGATCTTGAAACCGATCCGTTCAGCGATAGGGAGCCAGTGGAGCTTGGCTTGAACTGGTTTGATGGGGGTACAGAGATTAGTTTGGGTGAGTATGCAGGTGGCAGAGTTTTGGATCAACTGGATTTTGTGGGTGGTGGAGCTGGCAAGTAGTGTAGTTGAGGCAGGAGATGACGGACAGTGTTTCAGCTGCGTCTGGGGTAAGGTACAGTCGGAGGTGGGCAATGTGGCGGAGGTGGAGGAAGGTGGCTCTGATCAGGTACTGACCCCTAGGTTGCGCAGTTACAATTCTAGCCATTTTTGGGGTGCAGATTAATGTTTCAAACATCTGATTATTCTGTTTGATTCATTCATTTGAACATTTAACTTTGGACCAGAAGATTTTGCATTTGCATCTTGGTATGTCTACTCAGGCCTTTACTGTTCTATAGTTAATAAAATACAATTCTTATATTTCTAACATAAGAAATTTGGAGGAAAGTAAACAAAATCTGGCAAAATCTATCTGGTCTGTAGTAATCCAAAGCATTGTTAATAGTTGACCAGTCTGTCTTTTCTTTCTCACTTTTATTGTGTTTGTTCTATTTACCACACTGGTCTTTTCATATCACATATCACTATGGTTTAGTAGGCTGGACAGAAAACTTTTTCGCATTTATTGTCCTCGATCTGGCTGTTTCGTGTTTAAGAGCAAGCTGTGTTACTTGTATGCTAATTTAATGTTTTCCCATCATCCCAATGGGAAACACCTGACCTCCGGTTTGCACCTTCCTTGGACAGCATGGCAGATATTGGGTAACTGATTTAAGGAATCATAGATGAAATATCTGCTTTCAATAAGTAATCATGGATATACAAAGGCACAGCACGTTTAGATGATGAGATAATGCATGTACCCGAGGGAGGGAAACCTTAGAATACTTATACACAAGACTGTTCTTTCCTAGATCTGGGTGTTAAGGATTTTGATGATTGCCAAATTCAGTAGAGTTTAAAGAATAAATTGTAGAATTCTCATATATGTATTCAAATGAATTGTCTCCTGTTTGAGTGAACTGCTAACTTGTGTAAAATACTTCTTGAGTTGCTTGCTACTGAAATAATACTTTACCAAGCTGTTTACTAACCTCTTCAAATCTTTCTTTCACATCTCCTCCCTGGATCATCATCTCCAGTCTGGCTTCAAGGTCAGTATGTTTTTATTTACTCAAACTGCCTATCCTTTCTGTCTTTGTAACTGAGGGTGGCAGAGAACAATGATAAGAGTGAAAAGTCAGGTAGCGAGGTAGCTTGTAGCAAACTTAAGAGTAGAAAAAAGAACAGGTCAGTAACTTTATTGAAATGTCATCACATATTTAGTCCCCCACTATGTGGCCATTCCTCACAGAAGTCTAATTTGTCTGTTCGTAGTTGTCACCTAGCTAAACCGTTTTAGTTGATTCTGGAATAAGCATGTAAATTGACGTTATCTTGGCTTGGAAAAATTCAAGACTATTTTTGTGGCGCATGGGAGAAGGTGAGGTTGACTTGAAGTTGTATCTGAGCTTCCTTTCATTAGAAAGCAGTGAAGGGACCACGGATGCCTGTATAGAAAAACAATTAATTTTGTCAGCCAAGCAAAGTTCCATCGTTTTGAATTCCATGTGGATCACCTCAATGCTATGATCATCTTAAGCACTCTGGGATGCTACCTTGCATGAAGGCGGGTACATAAATGCAAGTTGTTGTTGTTGCTATTGAACAAATAAGAGACTGCGTTACAGCTAAACTGCTTGCACTGTCCAACAATCGAAAGAAGCTCCTCAACAGGAAAGCAGCTCTGTGCCATTCACTGAGTGATTTGTCTCGGCTAGCCTAGTGGCAACACATGCATAAAGGTTTATCTTTTCCGGAGGTTTCAACCCGCAAACCAGGTTTCCTCACGACCAACTGGTTCATCCTGTTCCTTGTGCGAGGCCTTGGCGAACAGACGTGTTTGCCTCAGCCTCCTCGTTGCAGAGTGTCAGGTCAATGTAGGCCAGAGCCAACAGGAAACATTCTGTTATATATCCAGGATCTCTGAACCATGTTTGGTCACATATTTTATAAGCCACAATCTTAACCTGTATTGGGACTTTGCTATCAATGAAGAGAGATGATCATAACCAGAGTACTCTTCGTCCCTTCTCAGCATGGTCCGAAGGACAATTGGTGAAAGGCGCGATACAAATGTAATTTGTTGTTGTTGGTGTCCATCACAGTGGCCAGATACTGATATAAATGAACAATTGTGATAGACGCCCCTTGTATCTTTCTGTCAATACTTTCAAAGTCGCCTCTTCAGCAGTACAAAGCCATAATGCGATTCGTGGGGTACCCACAATCAAGCCCCGATTGGTGGCTCAGTGTTCAGGATCTTAAATGTAGGGCACAAGACACAGGTGAACCCACCTCTTCTGAATCGCAGTGCAGTATTAACAGTCTATTACAATACATGACCATTAAATATTCTATTTCTGTAAAGTACAGTAAAACTCACATAAGTCTTATCTTTATAAATCGCATAATCGCCTAAGTTGTCCATTCACCAAGTCCCATTCAGTTTCCTATCAAAACTATTAATATTTATTTGCATTACTCGTATTAATCACCTCCTAACTCGTAACGTTGCTCCCCTATCTCCATTACTTCTGCAGTTACCAGTTGTATTGAATCGCAGGAAACATAGTCTTGACCGGTCACCGCATTCACACTTACCGGCTGCATTGAATTCTGCATGCACAGTGTAGATTATTGATTAAATTTGATTTTATACGATTTATACAATTTCCCTGCAACTCAAATTTAGTGTACGTCAAATTAAATGTTATAGCCCCGACTGATGCGACTTAGATCAACTGAGTTTTACTGCACTGTCCAATCACTGTCCCAGCTATTTTCAATAGGATACCTTACCATTGGAAGCTAAAAAGCATTGTTGTTATTTATAACGATAAATATTTTTTGCATTTGAATACAGAACCTTATCATGTCTTTGAGACCTCTCAAAGCACTTAACATGGGGTGTAATTTATACCTGTGAGATGTAAATTGGTGTGCCTGTGTTTGTGTGGGCGAACACAAAATGAATGGTATTTCTGGTATTTGGAACATAGGAACAGGAGTAGGCCATTCAGCCCCTCAAACCTATTCCGCCATGCTATAAAATCATGGCTGATCTGTACCTTAAGTCTAATTGCCTGCCCTTGCCCCATATCCCTGACCTAACAAATATCTATCCACCTCAGTCTTGAAAATTTGATTGGGTCCAGCACCCACAGCCTTTTTGTGGAGAGAGTTGCAGATTTCCGCTACCCTTTGTGCGAGAAATTGCCTCCTAATTTCACTCCTAAATGGCTTAACTCTAATGTTAAGATTATGCACCCTTGGTCTGGATTCCCCCACCAGAGAAAATAGTTTCTCTGTAGCTACCCTATTATTTTTATTATTATTTATTATTTATTTTATTTTTATTATTACTACCTTTATTATTTTTAAAACCTCAATTAGATCATCCTTCAACCTTCTAAACTCAAGGGAATACAGACCAAGTTTATGCAACCTATCCTCATAATTTAACACTTTAAGACCAGATATAATTCTGGTGAATCTCCACTGTACCCCCTCCAAAGCCGATATATCCTTCCTGAGTGAGGTGTGGTGCCCAAAACTGAACGCAGTATTCCAGATTCTCCTGGTCTATCACCAGCAAGCTGCAATATTATGCATATGTCACCATCAGCTGTGTTATAAAACTGTTTGTACGTGTTTCAAATAACTTCTTCAGTTTAATGCAAAGTCGTGCACATCAAAATATGTTTTATGTCAGAAAAACTTGAATAATATGCTATTTCTGAATTGCTGCTATGTTGTTCAGAATATTTATCTAACTTACTTAGAATGTTTGAAAAGGCGTGAAAAAACAATCATTGTGCAAATACTGATGATATTTCCAGCTTTTCCTGAAGGTCTTGGCACTGAAAACCTGGAGCCAGACTTTCAATAATCAGCCCTATAGTTTTTCAGCAGGGGATACGCAATGAGTCTTCTTGTTTGAAAATACTATTGAAAGTATCTTTATTTTGCCCAACAGAGGGCTCTGCTTAAATACTTAATTTCAGTTCAAATATACTCAATTTTCTTTTTACACATCTCTATCTTACAAACATTCATGCAGTTAAATAAGAGAAGAACAGGGATTCTAAAACTGCCATTTTTAACTTTTGATTCTCCTTCCATTACATGGAATTTTCCAGGAGCCTGGAACATTCTGGTAAGCCTGCAAGAGGCCTGGGTTCAATTCCCCGGCAGGGTGAAAGTTTCCTTACTCCACACGCCTCTGTTTACCTAGCAATGAGTAGGAACTTGGTTGTTAGCCAATTGGCTTTTCCGGAAGTAATAATCCCTTAAAAAGAAATTTGATCACTCAATCCACAACTGTTTGTGGGACACTGCTGTGCGCAATTGGCTACCACGTTTCGCCCACAAATTATACAGTCAATTCACTTTACAGTATATTCTGTGAAGCGCATTGAGTCTGCTCAATGAAGTGATCAAGTGCTATATCAAATACAAGGATTATTTTTATTTTTCTCTAATATTTTGATCCAGTTAGTCTATTTTAGTTTAGTAATGCACTGTAGGTATTAATGTAGTAACTGCATTTTGTACAGTCACTAAACTTTTCAGTAAATCCAGTGAAGTACTTTGAGACATCCTCCTGACACGAAAAGCACCATATCAAATACAAGGATTATTAATGACCACCTGAGCAGGTAGATGGCATCTCGCTTTCACGTCTTAGTCAAAGGATTGCACCTCTGACATTGCAGTCATTCATCAGCACTGCACTCGATTGTCAGCCTCGACTGTAAGTTCAAAGGCCTGACAAGTTCAAAGGCCTGACTCAGAGGCAGGACCATGACTAACAGCCAGGCTGACACCCACTGGAGTCGTTAAAGAATTTTGTAATAAGACTGTAAATGGGTATTCTGGAAGGATGAGATTAAATAGAGTTAAGGTGTGTGTGTATATATACTATAGAATATATATATATATATATATAGCAGGGCGAAACCTTGGACAAGTTCCTTACTCCACACGCCTCTGTTTATCCAGCAGTAGGTAGGAACCTGCTTGTTAGTCGATTGGTGGATCGCTTGTGCCTGTACATTCTTGAACTTTGAGGAAATGCAAGTAAGAATTTTGTCAGTTCCTCAAGGAAGTATGCTATACAAGCCAGTTGAACCATTTTTTTTCACCGACTGGACTTCAAACTACAAAAGTGCTGAATGTAACTGCTTTGCCACTCATCATGGTCATATTCCTTTCTCTGAGGCCAATATTTTGAATTTCTGTATTTTATTGAAAATGCTAAATTCTTTGTGTGGAGTGGTACATTTACAGCAGTTATCCCCTTTTAATGGATAAATTGGAGTTTATTATAATTATAAAATGATGGTTGAAGCAGAAACCACCAATGTGTAGCTTTTAAGAGGGAATTGGTTAAATATTTGAAAAGAAACATATTAAATTGGTATGAGCAGGGAATGATGATTTAAATTGATAATGCTTTTAGGGAGCTGGGACTAAACAATGAACTAAGTGACCTCAGGCTAGTATATGTAAAGTGTATTGACTGTATATGAACTCTAATCCCTATGAAGGCTGACGCAAAAAAAATTGTAATAATACCTTTGTGACTTAGAAGCAAGAGTACTGCCAATTGAGTCAACTACTAAATGCATTATTGCTAAAGATGAATTTGAAGATTGCATTAACAACTTCCAAGCATTTACCATCACTGGCAGGCCTGATTGATGCTTAAATTGGCTTGTCACTGGAAGTATATGGCAATAAGTCCAGCAAGATACACTTACACAGGTTTTCTGTCCACACAGTGCAATTTGTAGCATTATTCCAAGAACTTCAATCAAATCAAGGTTTCTCATAGCTACATTAGTAAAGGCACACACCACACATTCATGTTCAGTTGGAACCCCATGCTGCCTGTCTTCCAGGATTATAATAGTGTATGTTCTTGTGCTGAGAGTGATTTCATACTTGGTGGATGATGTTTGCAATTTATATATGTTTTTGCATTTATTTTACAAGAACTTAACACATTTTAGAAATGCTTTTCATCTCTGTGTGCCAGTGATGTGAAAAT